GGATTCATGGGGCACTATTGCCATTTGCCAGCGTTTCGGGAACAGCGCCTGGCCATGCCTGCCAGGTGAGAGGAAATGATCCAGAGCCCCCCCTTCGCCGGTCCACAGGCTGCCACCCCTGCTGGCTGTGGGGAAACCACACTGATTGGGGGTGGGGGCGGGGGCTCCCACCACTGCCAGGAGAGGAAGGGAGCTGGTTGGGGGCTGGGGACAGATCTGAGCCTTGATTTGCTTTCTTTGCAGAGTTTGTTTTAAAAGCAAAGCACAATATCCAGAGTCGGGGGGAGGGGGGGGGTTAGCTTGTCTGAAGCATGCGGATGCTAAAGCCCCCAGGGTAATACACAGCACTCGGGAAGGAGAGATCACCCCCCAGGAACCAGCCTGCGGAGGTGGCACGCAGGACGTCGGAGAGCGATCACGCCCCACTCTAGCCGAGCGGCACCTGGGAGATGTGAATGTAACACCCGGACTGTACCTCCCACGGGAATAGTCAGAGCAGGGGCCAGGTTTCCAAAAGCCAACATCTGCGTGGGTGGGGGCCGGGGCCGGGGCCATGTGCATGGCCTGCAGGTTGGGCACTTTGGAAACCTGGCTGGAGATGGCGCTTTAATGTTTTGCCTGGTGACATCCCAGCTGATCCGTCCTCTCGTTTGCAGAGGACACCCCTGAGCCCATCCCTTAGCTCCCTGCCTCTGACCCCTTTGGTAACGCACCGAGTCCAGCCTCTCGCTTTCCAGCAAGAGCTTCCAGTCCCCGAGTCCCTGTGCAGAGCTGCTGCTTCCCCCTCCCTGCTTCACAGCAGGTTGCACGGCCTTCTCTCCTCCTCATCCGTCAGAGCTGCTGACAGCTGTACCAGAGCCCCCGCACCTCTGTGCAAACACTGCTCATTTCGGATGCTGCAGCCTGCGCAGAGCAGACCCCACTGAGATCTTACACTCCACTCTCAAATTAAAAACAGGAGCCAGGCGCCGGGGGAGCTGCGCTGCTGACAGCTCGATAAAAACCTGTTTGCTGCTTCCTCCTCTCACGCTCACCTGGCTACGGGGAAAAAACAGTCACTAAAAGCCTTTGATCTCAGCTGCTGGGCTCCTTGATAGCGACTCGCTCTGCTCCCAGGAAGTGTGGCTGGCCAGGCTGCCCTGATGGGAATCTCTCTCAGAAAGGTGGCAGGAAACCCCGTTCTCTCTCCTTCCCGCCCCCACCCACCTCCCCGCTCAGCCATCCCAGGAAAGGTCAAGGCTGGTACTGGACGGGAGCCGGTGGCCTGTTAACACAGGTCAGTGGTGCACCCCGGCTGGTACCTGTGATGTGCTCACCCCCGGGTGTACAGGAAGCAGGAAGGCAAGTTGCACTTCGCTGCAGATTTCCGCATCACAGCGCACACAGAATGGGGATGTGCGGGGAAGGCCCCGTAAGGAGAGATTCGGTTAATGTAGCAA